CTATAGACAAGCCGGAAGAAAGGTGCAACATAACAACATTGTTTATAGCAACGGTCATTGCATCATCAGTTTTGACTCTCATATCATAGTTAAGAAGTTGCGAAATTTTTAAATTTATTTTTCCAAATGAAAACAATTAAAAAATGAAAGGAAAAATTTGATTTTTTGTTCGTTTTTCTTCATGTTGTTGTGGAAAATCTAAATGATTAGTGTGAGTTGGATTTTGTAAATGATCTATATTAAAATGATGATGACAATGACAACGACAACATTGAAATGATGTTGGAATTGTATACCATGCAGTAACATCAAAATTTGATATATTTAATTGATCATTTGGAATTGAACTTATATTAGATAAACTTAAATGAGATGTTGAATTATTTGAATGTATTTGAGTTGATTGAAATTGATGAAAATTTTCATTTGATAAACTTATTGATGATAGATTTTTATCATATGATATTCCTGAATCTTTTGAATAAGATAAAGACCATGAATGACATTCACTTAAATCGACCTAAACATATATTTTTATTAAAAGACTGATTGAAGAGACCAAACAAAAACAAAAAAAAATCATATTTACATAATCATTATTTGTTGATGATTGTTTTAATTCATATGATATATATTCATAATCTTTTGGTTTTGATACTGAACAACAAGATGAAATTTCTAAAAAAAAAGAGAGAAGAAAATAATTAAAAATTTTTTGATAAATCTAAAAAAGAATAACTAACTTGTTTTTGTAGAAGTTTGTTTATCTTGTGATGATGATCGAATAGTTTGAATAGCATGAGCAATTTTCTATGACAAGAAACAATGCAAAGATAAGTATCATATCATCGATAGAGATTGACTTACTTGTCGTATAGTTTTTGACATATTGTATTATGAATTAGTTAATGATTGCAATTGTTGTTTATATAGGGATGAAGAACGAGTGTCTGTTATAGAGATAAAAAAAAGAATCAAGTGTCAAGTGATTAGCTCTTTTTTTTTAATGCTCATCCATTTTTCTTTTCCATGGCTAACTTATCTCTTTCTTGACTAATTAGATACGTCTATATTGTTGAGTGTAATTAAATATTGATAATCT